CCTTTCCTTGATGTCCCTGCTCTGAAAGGGTGCCCACGAACTTCGTTTTAAAGTCTATCGAAAACCCACCAACCAAAAAACGTTTCCCCTTCTATTCACCACGACACCAAAACCAAACGGGGTGAAATTATAGGCTTCTTCCTGCGTGAAACTCAGAATCTGCAGCAACGATTTCCCCTTGAGGAAGAATGCACTATAATTGAAAAAATTTATTTTCTAAACTCCACTATCCTCGTCACTTCATCAGAGGACTGCAGACGGCGAGATTAACATCTTCAGCAAAACCAGAGAAGCCCACTGCCGAGAAAGTTTACATAGTCCTTCCCACCAACTCCTTTTGAAAAAACATGTTTCCAACATCTTTGCCAAACATCATTCAAGTATCTACCTCCACAACCACGACCATCAAGGACATCACCAGTAGTAGGCAGGAAAACCCTCCATCCTCGGGCAGGGGGTATACATAATCCCTTGTAATGACTGCAACAAGTTTACGTGGGCGAAACATCAAGGGACCTCCAAACACGTATTTCAGAACACCAATACGCAAGCAGGTCTGGACGAAAAACAGGAATGCTGCGTACAACACCGTAATTCACACAACCACTTGATAAACTACAGAAACTCAAGATTTATCGCCACAGAAGACAACACTCAATACCGAAGAATCCTGGAATCATCACTCATTTCCATATCCGACAACTTCAACCAGAATAGTGGCTTCTATAACATAGTTGAACCACTTGCCAAGAAACTTCTTCATCGCTACCCCCCAACATAAGAACACTGTAGAAGGTCTGCTCACAACTTATCCAATCTCCTTTCCAAGCTACCCAAGTTTTTAGACTCTATAACCCCACTCGGTACATCTTCAGGGTTTTAAATTGTTCCAAGTAGATAGAAGTATCGGGAAGGGGGGTGGGGTGGCATTGTATGTCCGAGATCGCTTGAATGTTGATAAAAACGGGTATTAAGTCTGAAGTAACACATACAGAGTTTTTTGGATAGAATTTTCAGAGGGGCATGAAAAATTAATTTTAGGTGTGATATACGTCCCCCCAAAAATTTTGATAGGGACCAGGGAGACTACTAGGGGGAAATTGTTAGGGCACAAGGCACGATAATGTAGTAATTTAGGAGACTTTAAAATTTAGTTTATATTGATTGGAATTTCTTGACTGGGAATTTAGAATCATACGATTTCTTAGAAGTAGTTCAGGATTGTTTTTTGAAGCAGTTTGTGACAGACCTACAAGGGGAAATAACTGCTTGACTTAGTTCTGGCAAACAATGAATCCTTGTTAATAATTTAGAAGTTTCAGAGGAACTGGGTGCTAGCGACACAAATCATTACATTTAGAATTGAATGGAAGTATGATAGTGGGATAACTCAGTAACAGTCCCAGATTTTCGCTTAGCAGATTACGATGGCTTAGAGAACACTTATCATCTGTTGACTGGGGTAACGAGAGAGCTATCAATATGACAGTTTTTCTGAAAAACAATACATGCTGCTCAAAGAACGTTTATCCCTTATAAGGAAATTAGACCCAAATAGAAATGACCCAAAATGGATGAATAATAGGCTGAAATATTACTAGGGCATAAGAAAGGAATTTATAGGCGTATCAAAAGAGGCGAGGGTCATCTTATGAATCAGTATATTGACATTAAGAGGGACATTTAAAAAGGGGATAAGAAAAGCTAAAAAGGACTATGAAATTAAAGTTGCTAGGGATTCTAAAACTAACCCAAAAAGTTTTTCCAGGTATATAGAACAAAAGTCAGAGATAAGATAGGTCCCCTTAAAAATACTATGGGCATCTTACTGACAAAGAGAATGAAATGTGCTCGATTTAAATAATTATTTTCTCTCGGTTTTTACACAGGAAGACACTAATAATATTCCGGTAATTAATTTTTATAGTGGTCAGAAGAAGATAAATTATGTAACTCACAGTCATAGTGAAATGGTTGTGAAGCAGATAGACCGACTGAAGCAAAATAAGTCACCGGGTCCTGATGAGGTTTTTTCAAGGGTTCTTAAGGAATGCAAAATGGAAGTCTGTGAACCATTAACTAATATTTTTAATTTATCTCTTCAAACAGGTGTAGTGTCTGATATGTGGAAGATGGCGAATGTAATTCCTATTTTTAAAACAGGGGACAAGTCGTTACCGTCAAATTACCGCCCAATAAGCCTGACCTCAATTGTAGGCAAATTACTAGAGTCAATTATAGCTGAGGATTATAAGAAGCCATCTCGATAAGCATAGCTGATTAATGATACTCAGCATGGATTCACAAGAGGCCGGTCTTGTCTAACTAATTTATTAACTTTCTTCAGTAAAGCTTTTGAGGCTGTTGACCATGATAAAGAATTTGATATTATTACTTAGATTTTAGTAAGGCATTTGATAGAGTTCCGCACCAAAGACTGTTAAAGAAAGTAGCAGCTCATGGCATTGGGGGAAGGGTGCTCTCGTGGATCGAGTCATGGCTCACAGACAGGAAGCAGAGAGTGTCCATAAATGGGGTTAAATCCGAGTGGGGATCAGTTACAAGTGGCGTTCCACAGGGATCAGTCTTGGGCCCGTTGTTGTTTATAATATATATCAATGATCTTGATGAAGGAATTACTAGTGATATGAGCAATTCGTGATGACACGAAGATAGGTAGGATAATTGATTCAAACGTAGATGTTAGGGAACTTCAGGAGGATTTAGACAAACTTTACTCTTGGTCAGAAAAGTGGCAGATGCAGTTCAATGTAGATAAATGCAAGGTTCTGAAGCTCGGGAGTGTCCATAACCCTAGCACTTATAAGTTAAATAATGTAGAACTTAGCCATACAGATTGCGAAAAGGACTTGGGGTTATGGTAAGCAGCAACCTTAACCAAGACAGCAATGCCTAAGCGTACGTAATAAGGCAAATAGATTACTGGGATTTATATCAAGAAGTGTAAGCACAGAAGTCCAGAGGTCATACTGCAGCTTTATACATCATTAGTAAGGCCTCACCTAGATTATGCAGCTCAATTCGGTCTCCATATTACAGAATGGACATAATTCGTTAGAAAACATTCAGCGTAGGATGACTAAATTAATACATAGCATTAGAAATCTTCCTTATGAAAGAAAAATTGATAGACTCTTAAGTTACATTCACTTGTTAGACGAAGAATGAGGGGAGACCTGATCGAAGTGTATAAGTGGAAGATAGGTATTAATAAAGGGGATATTAACAAGGTCTTGAGGATATCTCTCCAAGAGAGAACCCGCAGTAATGGATTTAAATTAGATAAGTTTAGATTTAGAAAGGACATAGGAAAGTATTGGTTTGGAAATAGGGTAGTTGATGAGTGGAACAGTCTACCTAGTTGGGTTATTGAGGCTAGGACTTTGGGTAGTTTCAAATTTAGGTTGGATAAGTACATGAGTGGGAGGGGTTGGATTTGAGAGGGGCTTGCACATCGGAGCATGTTTCTTGGGTGGCATTGAAAATTGGGTTGGTCAAATGTTTGTTAGTGGGATGAATTGTAAAGGACCTGCCTAGTATGGGCCAACAGGCTTGCTGCAGTGTTCCTCTTTTCTTATGTTCTTATGTTATCAGATGCAGCATTCTTCACCTGACCTCAGCTGGACTATAAATACTCGCGTTCCTTCCACCCCAGGTAGTTCTGTTTGTGACTTGAAAAAGCCCACTGTGTGGGCGAAACGTAGTCAATAAAGGATCACATTATACTGCATTTGTGTTTATATTGCCACTTAAGGAATGCAAGATGGAGCTTAGTCAGCCATTAACGAGTGTATTCAATGCGTCCATCCTTACCAGTGTTGTGCCAGAGTTGTGGAAGATGGCTAATGTGGTTCCTATATTCAAATCAGGGGATAAGTCCACTCCTTCAAATTACCGTCCAATAAGCCTGACATCTATAGCGGGCAAGTTATTAGAATCAATTATAGCTGACATTATCAGAAGTCACCTTGAAGAGCATAACTTGATAAATGAATCTCAGCATGGATTCACGAGAGGTCGTTCCTGCCTGACAAACTTACTGACTGTTAGGTAAGACACATATGCAACAGTTAGGTATGTGATGAATGGTTTGAAAAACCGACAAGTTGAAGATTGAGACACTTATGCAGCATATGGGAATCTTTATTCAGGAAACGTTTCGCCACACAGTGGCGATATTGTTTCAGACAACGGAACAATGCTCTTCTCCAGACTGAGGGACTGACCACCTCAAAACTTTAAGGGTGATGGACTGATTACATCGTCTTCAAGTATCTTCTGCTTCTATCAACTTTTCTGTACTCGACTGAAGAAGCCTACTGTGTAGGCGAAACGTTTCAAAATAAAGATACCTAACTGTTGCATATGTGTCTTACCTAACAATCTGTCATCACAATCTGTCGGTATTTTATACCATTTTAATGTTCAAACTTACTGACGTTCTTCAATAGAACATTTGAGGCAGTTGACAGTAATAAGGAATATGATATTGTTTATTTGGATTTTAGTAAAGCCTTCGACAGAGTACCTCACAAGAGACTCTTAAAAAAAGTGGCAGCTCATGGTATAGGAGGTAAAGTTCTAGCATGGATTGAGGCATGGCTTACCAATAGAAAGCAGAGAGTTACCATTAATGGAGTGAAATCTGAATGGGGATTAGTCACTAGTGGCGTTCCACAAGGATCAGTTTTAGGCCCTCTCTTGTTCATAATTTACATTAATGACCTTGATGAAGGGATTACTAGTGACATGAGTAAGTTTGCTGATGATACAAAGATAGGCCGTATAATTCACTCTGAGGAGGATATCAATGAACTCCAGGACGATTTGAACAAATTAATGTCTTGGTCTGAGAAATGGCAGATGAAGTTTAATGTGGATAAGTGTAAGTTACTTGCCCTTGGTAATGAAAATAACCCTCGAAGCTATAATCTAGGTGAAGTAGAGCTTGGTCATACAGAATGTGAAAAAGACTTGGGAGTCATGGTAAGCAGAAATCTAAAGCCAAGACAGCAGTGCCTCAGTGTGCGCAACAAGGCCAACAGGTTGAGGGACTGATTACCTCATTCTCCTCCTCTCCTTATGCCTTCCTCTTTGTATTGGACTGATGAAGCCACTGTGTGGCGAAACGTTTCCTGAATAAAGATTCCCATATACTGCATAAGTGTCTCAATCTTCAGATTACTTGGATTTATCTCAAGAAGTATAAGTAACAGAAGTCCAAAAGTTATTTTACAGCTCTATACATCACTAGTGAGGCCTCATTTAGACTATGCTGCTCAGTTTTGGTCCCCTTACTACAGGATGGACATAGACTCATTAGAGAACATACAGAGAAGAATGACTAAAATGATTTACTGTGTAAGGAACCTCCCGTATGAAGATAGACTTAAAGCCTTAAATCTCCACTCTCTGGAGAGGCGTAGAATGAGGGGAGATATCATTGAAGTGTATAAGTGGATGACGGGCATAAACAAGGGAGACATTAATAAAGTACTGAGGGTGTCGAACCAGGTAAGAACCAGGAATAATGGATTTAAGTTGGATAAATTTAGATTTAGAAAGGACATAGGTAAGTACTGGTTTTCTAACAGAGTTGTAGATGCGTGGAACAGTCTTCCCAGTGGGGTGATAGAGGCTAGGACCTTGGGTAGCTTTAAGAAGAGACTGGACAAATATATGAGTGGGAGGGGCTGGGTTTGATTGGTGTTGGGGGGTGCTGGAGTTTTTTCTTGAGTAGCTCTAGGTAGTTGTCGTTTTGATAAGGACCTGCCTCGTATGGGCCAGTAGGCCTTCTGCAGTGTTCCTACATTCTTATGTTCTTATGTTCTTATAAGAAAGGAGGAACACTGCAGCAGGCCTGTTGGCCCATACTAGGCAGGTCCTTTACAATTCATCCCACTAACAAACATTTGACCTACCCAATTTTCAATGCTACCCAAGAAATAAGCTCTGATGTGCAAGTCCCACTCAAATCCAACCCATCCCACTCATGTATTTATCCAACCTAAATTTGAAACTACCCAAAGTCCTAGCCTCAATAACCCAACTAGGTAGACTGTTCCACTCATCTACTACCCTATTTCCAAACCAATACTTTCCTATGTCCTTTCTAAATCTAAACTTTTCTAATTTAAATCCATTACTGCGGGTTCTCTCTTGGAGAGATATTCTCAAGACCTTGTTAATATCCCCTTTATTAATACCTATCTTCCACTTATACACTTCGATCAGGTCTCCCCTCATTCTTCGTCTAACAAGTGAATGTAACTTAAGAGTCTTCAATCTTTCTTCATAAGGAAGATTTCTAATGCTATGTATTAATTTAGTCATCCTACGCTGAATGTTTTCTAACGAATTTATGTCCATTCTGTAATATGGAGACCAGAAATGAACTGCATAATCTAGGTGAGGCCTTACTAATGATGTATAAAGCTGCAGTATGACCTCTGGACTTCTGTTGCTTACACTTCTTGATATAAACCCCAGTAATCTATTTGCCTTATTACGTACGCTTAGGCATTGCTGTCTTGATTTAAGGTTGCTGCTTACCATAATCCCCAAGTCCTTTTCGCAATCTGTATGGTTAAGTTCTACATTATTTAACTTATAAGTGCTAGGGTTATGGACACTCCCGAGCTTCAGAACCTTGCATTTATCTACATTGAACTGCATCTGCCACTTTTCTGACCAAGAGTAGAGTTTGTCTAAATCCTCCTGAAGTTCCCTAACATCTACGTTTGAATCAATTATCCTACCTATCTTCGTGTCATCGGCGAATTTGCTCATATCACTAGTAATTCCTTCATCAAGATCATTGATATATATTATAAACAACAACGGGCCCAAGACTGATCCTGTGGAACGCCACTTTTTACTGATCCCCACTCGGATTTAACCCCCATTTAGGGGACACTCTTTGTTTCCTGTCTGGAGCCATGATTCGACCCACAGAGCCCCCTTCCCCCAATCCCATGAGCTGCTACTTTTCTTCACATTTTTTGGGGGGAAAACTCTATCAAATCCCTTACTAAAATCAAAGTAAATAATTAAAATTTCTTTTTTCGTTCAACAGCCCAAAAGCTTTACTAAAAAAGTTAAAAAATTAGTTAACAAGACCGGCCTTTTGTGAATCCATGCTGATATCATTAATAAAAGCTATGTTATCGAGATGGCTTTTAAAATTCAGCAAAAATCGACTTAGTAATTTGCCTAAAATTGGGTCAGGCTTTTTGGGCGGAAATTTGAGGGAAACGACTTGTCCCTGTTTTAAAAAAAAGGAATTACTTAGCCCATTTTCCCACATATCAGACACTGCCCTGTTTGAAGGAAAATTTAAAAATATAGTTAATGTTCACGATTTTCCTTTTTGCTTCCTTTAAAACCCCTTGAAAAAAACTCATCGGACCCGGGACTTATTTTGCTTCAGTCTGTCTATTGTTTCAAAACCCATTTCATAGTGACTGTGATTTTACAAAATTTTAAAATTTCTTTGACCACTTAAAATTAATTCCCGGAATATTATTGTGTCTTCCTGTGTAAAAACCGAGGGGAAAAAAATTATTTAAATCGGCAATTCATTCTTTTGTCATAAGATGCCATATTTTTTTTTAAGGGACCTTTCTTATCTCTATTTTTTGTTCTATAGACCGGGAAAAAAATTTTTTTGGGTTATTTTAGAATCCCTAGAAACTTTAATTTTCATGATGTATAAAGCTGCAGTAGACCTCGGGACTTCTGTTGCTTACATTTTTAAATAAAAAACCCAATAAGAAAAAAGGGAAACAGCAACAGGTCTATGACCCATGCGGAGCGGTCCATGCCCCCCCCCCCGATTAGCCCAAATGACCCCCCCCCGGTTTTCCCTTGCCCCCCAGTCTGGTCATCCCCATAAAGGGAGGAGCACTGTCCCAAACCCAGCAGCACATGCTAGTCGGGCCCAAACTCACACCCCCCAAAAACCCATATGTATTTATCTAGCCTATTTTTAAAATACATAACGTTTTAGCCTAAATAACTGTACCGGGAGTTTGTTCCCACTCATCCAAAAACCTTTTCCCAAAACCAGTGCTTTCCTATTCCTTCCTGAACGTTTTTTCCCAATTTGAAGCCATTGCTGCGAGTCATTCTTGGCTGGAAATTTTCAGCCACATTTACATCCCCTTTATTTTTTCCTTTTTCCTTTATACACCAGATCATATCTCCCCAAATTTCTACCCCTTTTCGAGAGAGTGAAGATTCTGACCCTCATCTATCCTCTGGAAGATTTCTGATCATGGAAAACCTTTGCATCCCCCTCGTACTTTTTTTCCAAGCATTTAACCATTCGTAATAGGGTGACCAAAATGAGCAGCATAGTCAAAAGGGGGGCCAAACCCAAGGATATATGGTTGAAGAACAACCTGAGGACTTCTATTATTTATATTCTTGATAGAAGCCAAGAATTCTGTTAGCTTTTTGCGAACACTAATGCACTGTTGTTTTTTTTTAAATTACGCTAACCAAACCCTAAATCCTTTTCGCTCGGATTTTAAAGATCTACATTATTTATTTAAATTTTGGGGGCTGGTTTTTTTAAAACTGCCCAAAATTTAGAACTTTGCTTTTGTCAATATTAAAGCATTGCCACTTCTCCGACCATTGCATCAGTCTATGCAAATCATCCGGAGTGCTCTATTTCCCTCTTAGAATAAATTTTGACGGCTATTTTGGTGTCATCAGAAATTTGTTTATGTCGCTTTTTATTCCCCATCTAGTGTTTATGAAAAATGTGAACAACAAGGGCCCAACACTGACCCTGACGAACACCACTTGTGAGGGCCCTTCCATTTTTTTCTCCCCATTTATCAAAATCTTGCTGTTATTTGTCAGCCAGCTTTACCAAGGAAAAAATTTTTTCCCCTATTCCGTGTCCCAATTTCCTCAATAGCCTCTGGTTGGAAATCTTTGAAAGCCTAACTGAAGTCCCCATAACAAAATTTTCTACATTACCATGACTACCTCCCAAACACCTTGGAAAAAATTAGAAAATTCGAAGCAGGGGCCCCCCTTTGTAAAAACCGTGTTGAGAATCATTAAACAACTGTCCTGTCAAAAGGCTACGAATTGCTTCGGCAATTATTGTTCCATAAAATTTCCCACTAGGGGTAAGGGTTTTTGGGCTATAGTTTGAAGCCAAGGACCGTCCATGCCTTGTAAAAAAGGTATTACATTGCCATTTTTCCCCTTATCAGCACTATGCCAGTTTGTAGTGATATTTAAAAAATTAGCTAAAGCTGGTAATAGTGAAATTATTTCGAATGTTTTACTAAAGGCGACATAATATAAGCTTATTCTAATTACTTAAAATAATTTCAGGAGGACGATATAGTCGTACCATGGCTTTAAACGCCACACATTTTTTTCTTATTTAAAATGGAGATCTCGGGAAGTAGAGATTTGGGGCGACAGATTTCGGTAAAAATAAAAATTTGGAATATTTAAATCTGCCATAAATTGTCATCCTTTGGGTATTTTTTCAAGACCCACATTAAATACAGTTTGTTGCGAACCAATGTGTTCGTCAGGGGTTCCAACAAAAAAGTACACCAATGGAGGGGAAAAAAAATTTTAAATTTAAAAAGGTTTTTAAATCCTCACTCTGTGGGTTCATTCTCTGGTATAAAAAAGGGAAAAAAATTACCCTTCCCCAAAACTTGAAAGAGGTTAGAAATTTCTTCAGTTCAGAAAGTTACTCTGTACATGTTCTTAAAACCCAAGAAGTTTCCCCCCTAAGAAAAAAAACGCAAAAACCCCGGGGGATATTAAAAAGTATTTGGGGGATATTCTAAAATTTTCCCGAATAATGAGATTATAAGTACATTCTCGTGTGTATCGTGTTTTTTCAAGAAGGCCCGAGCACTTTACATGCATTACAAAACATTTTGGAGAATGAAAGGAGAAAGAATATATCGAGATTATTTACAGATAAACGTGGAAAAGCTTCTAAATAAACGTATAAAAGGCATATCATGTATTTCGAATGAAACAAAAGCTTCCATTGCAGAGAGAGGCTTGCAACGTTAAAACGTAAAATTTATATAAATATATGACAATTTGCCAATACATTTAATTATTCAAAGGTATTTAAATGCATTGGTAGATGCATATAATTCAACTCCACACTCGGGGATTGGTGGTAAAACCCCATTGCAAGTCCATTGTATCATGTCATTGGATGATATAAGGAATCAGTTTCGCATAAATTATAAAAATGGAAGATCCAATAAGAAACGTTTCAGTAAGAAGTTGCTGTTGGAGACACAACAAGAGTCACTCCTAGTTTAACCGGGGGTTTTTCACACACTTTATGCAGAGGAAAGTTTTAAAATATACAAAATTTAATGATTCTCAACCTATAACAACATTTTCATTTGGAAGATTTGAAGGTGAAAAGATTAAAGGATCATTTTATCGCGAAGAATTGACCCCAGCCATACCACCTCCAGAATATATTATCGACAGAGTATTGAAACGAAAAAAAAATTGGTGGAATTATGCATTATTTGGTATCTTATAAAGGTTATGATTCCACTTTTAATTCGTGGGTCAAAGAAGGAGATTTGTTGAAGGTACAATAAAAAAATCATTATTAAAAAAAATTAAAGAATGAATTTCATTACTTACTAGTCTCCCACGCAATCAACGGAAGAGTTTATTACAACAGTTTAAGAAAACACACACAAGTTGTATCAGTGAGATTTTCAAGAATTTGATCAAGAATAAAATACCATTAGAGCCTAAAATATTTAAAAAGTACAAGAACGAGATTAGATCATTAGCTTGTAAGAAAAAATTTGGGTTTTCAGCGTAAAAAGAAATATTTTTTTGAGTATCAGAGGTGGGAAAACTTTTAGTATTATATTACCCCTAGCAGTAGATATTATTTCAAGATTGTTTAAGGATAGCAAAACCTTCATATTCACCTCCCTTCTTATCTCTCTTTCTGCATTCCTTCTTTTAAGAAATAGAAGGATATCCCCAAAAAGACTTCTCTCTCTCTCTCTCTCCCCTCTCTTCCCCCTTCTCTCCTCTCTCTCTCTCTCTCTCTCTCTCTCTCTCTCTCTCTCCCCCTCTCTCTCCCCTCTCCCCTCTCTCTCTCTCCCAAAATTACTACCTTCTTCCTACAAAAATTACAACAACACTCCCATACTCCTCCATCCATACCTCCCTCCTTACATCTCTCTCCCTACCTACGTATTTACAAGAATAACAAGGATCCTGCAAGACTATCTCGTACCTCGTACTTTGCAACTCGCTATGAATCATCGTACTAATAAGATTACGAACATACCCCAAGCCTCCACCCCATCACCACTCACCTCGCTATCGCTCTCTTTACTTCTCTTTCTACATTCCCACTT